TATCCGTACCTGCCTCCGTGCGCGACGACTGCCTTAAAGATTTGGGTGAGTTTCCCCCCGCTTCAAAGACGATTACTTCATTCAACTAGGGGAACAAGGAGGATTCTTTGAATTAGATGCTGAGTAACGTGAAAATTCAGTGCTTATTCAACGACTCGGCGATGTGGTTCCAAAAACCTGTTGTTTCACTCGGTACGTCTCGTCTTTTAAGCAGACACAGCCAAATGGGTGGATTTTCGGTGACTTCGTGGTTTGAGTGGACCGCGTGGTGTCGTTTTCAATATGTAACCTAGCTGGATTCAGGAAACAATAAGGAATATGTTGGAGCGTGAGGCCTCTGCTTGGAGCGTACTGTACGATGAAGGACCGTGATAATTGGGCAAACGTTGAGTGTGAAAGAAGCGAATTTTCAAAAACAACTGAAGTTACCAGCAAAATTGGATAAATATCGTACTGGCGCTACTGCGAAGAAAGGAAAGAAGTGAAAGGAGAAGCTAGCTACCGAGCGGGGTGCGAAACACCAGAAGTGATTGTGGTGCATTTTGCTCCTGATCTGAATACTTATTACTGAAGATATTGTTTTCGCGGTGGGGCAAACGGAGCTGGTCGTGGTCTGGTTGTGTCATAGGCTCTCCCCATAGAGAAGCTCCGTTTTCGCTTATTGTAAGCTTTCAAAATGAAATTTCAACACAAAACTTAGTTTGTGTTTTTAAGCCCCGTGGTAATTAATTAGTTGCACTAAGTCACACAAAACCATTGCGCTCTCTTCGTGGCAGCCGCTATTCGCAGTGATCTATGGGACGTAATTATTTTTTGCTTTACACTAAATTTGCATTGGTCTATAATAAATGCTATAATTTAAATAAAATAATAAGTAAACATCTAATCACGGGACATTCCACTTTTGTTTACACTACCACTAGTTTGGGCTGGCAAAGGTGTAGGCAAACGCATAAATCCCTCGCTCTACCTTCTTCACGCTCTTGACCCCACAATACAATATAATGCCCTCCTGGCTTCAATCACATTTTCTTTAATAGCTCCTCCAACTTCGCTGCAGTGAGTCATTTCAGCGCAGTACCCTCCTATGAGCTCTCCTCCAATTGTTTTCACCGCTTGGCTCCTTGCTGCAAGCGAGGTCTCCTCAGGCTGACGCTTGAAAATACAGGCTGTATTTTCAGACTGGTCATATACTTGTCAATATTTCGTAAATGATCGATGTCCTTCCAGCGTCGGGCAGCGCCGTAGCGTTTGTGTGGCTTTTTCATCGAGCCTTCGTAAGCTTGCCAGACATTCTGCTTGTCGTATTATCGCCCACATTATCTCAAGGGTAATTACTGTCTATGAGGTTGGTGCTAGAAAGCCCCACTTGGTCAAAAAATCACTTCGACGATGGCATTTCCCCTTCTTAACGAAGTAGGACGGGGTCGTACTTGTCGTTGAAGCTGGGCGTCGGCTTTCACCGATGTTTAATAAAGAATAGCACGAGAGCTGACACAACTCGACTCTTCGTGAACACCACACAGCTCGTTTGAAGATGTTGTTCTAATTTTAGTGTTCTTCCGCCAAAATACACATATCGACGAAAGATATGGCCTATACAAGGCCTATTCCAGATCATCTACCTTAAACGTCGTAAAGGCCTTAACGTATTTTGCTCATAGTTATCCGTGATTACATTCGATTTTTTGTAAAGTTAGCGCATCTATATCACTAGGTCATACCTTCCGCCGATATATGTACGAGGAAATACGATAAACACCGTCTGTTTAGAGATACTGCATTTATTCCAATAGCACCCGTGCATAGAACGGTCCATCTATGCCGCACCCAACGCCTCGCTGGCTGTTTTCAATTGGTTAATTTATACCAATAGTTGCTAAACCAGATTATCGACCTCATTCGACGATGCGTGCGCATTTCATCGCTGCGTTGGTGCAGCGTGTCGATCGGATGAACTATGGTCCTCGCAAGTGCGACCTGCAGAAGATAAAGTCCCGCATTCCTTTCACAAACGACAGATACGTGCTGGGCGCCTTCACATGGGCGCGCGTGATGGAATTGAAGGCGCCAGCACTGGTGTTCGTTGGTTCGTGTTATTCGGTGGCAGGGGTTCGTGGGTATTCACGTATTCCGGACGACCCTAGCACCTTTTCAACATCCTGGTAACGACCCGATTCTTGCAACTTGTGGAGGAAGGTGCGAGGGAAATGCTTAAAGAATGCCGATACTGCCCGTCGGACCAGCACAACGAGCAGCTACCGACCTACTACTACAAGGTCATTTTTCCACCCAACGAAGCCTACGTTTGCACGTATGAATATTGGCTTTAATCGGGAAACCGCGAGTCTCCCATATCCGTACCTGCCTCCGTGCGCGACGACTGCCTTAAAGATTTGGGTGAGTTTCCCCCCGCTTCAAAGACGATTACTTCATTCAACTAGGGGAACAAGGAGGATTCTTTGAATTAGATGCTGAGTAACGTGAAAATTCAGTGCTTATTCAACGACTCGGCGATGTGGTTCCAAAAACCTGTTGTTTCACTCGGTACGTCTCGTCTTTTAAGCAGACACAGCCAAATGGGTGGAATTTTTGGCGACTTCGTGGTTTGAGTGGACCGCGTGGTGTCGTTTTCAATATGTAACCTAGCTGGATTCAGGAAACAATAAGGAATATGTTGGAGCGTGAGGCCTCTGCTTGGAGCGTACTGTACGATGAAGGACCGTGATAATTGGGCAAACGTTGAGTGTGAAAGAAGCGAATTTTCAAAAACAACTGAAGTTACCAGCAAAATTGGATAAATATCGTACTGGCGCTACTGCGAAGAAAGGAAAGAAGTGAAAGGAGAAGCTAGCTACCGAGCGGGGTGCGAAACACCAGAAGTGATTGTGGTGCATTTTGCTCCTGATCTGAATACTTATTACTGAAGATATTGTTTTCGCGGTGGGGCAAACGGAGCTGGTCGTGGTCTGGTTGTGTCATAGGCTCTACCCATAGGAGAGCTTCGGTTTTGCTTATTGTAAGTTCTCAAAATGAAACTTCAACACAAAACTTAGTTTGGGATGCTGTGCTCCGTGACGGTTAATTAGCTGCACTAAGCCACATATAACCTGCGAGGTATTGCCTTCCGTGGCAAATACCAAGAATACTCGTTCAAATATCCATTGAGTGCACTCTCCGTCGTGCTTTGCATGAATTTGACGTGGCGTTTGATGTGGATCTCCCACAGGCCTTCCTTAGTGTTCGTGTTAGTATCAGTCATTGGATTCACGTCTGGTCTGTGTGGCTCACATACTTGTGCGTGCAGTTCAAGTCTCGAAAAGAAGGTAGGCAAACATTCAGATGCGCACGCGGCGCCTAGTCCTCCTTTCGATGACGTATGTAGCGTACACGTCCGAGTGGATTGTTGTCCTTTGCAAAAAACAAAAAACAATGATACAGTGATATATGTGTCATAACGTGCGGAACATAGGATCGTACTCGAGCTTGATGAACGTGCGAATAACAGGAAATAGCTTTGTCTGGGTTCTATCCGCGTCAACAATTCGGCCAAACCACTATTTAGTAGGTGCACTCCATCAAAGAGCCAATAATCCGGGAATATTCGCTCACATTGTGTTTGCTCTTCTTTTTAGGCTTGTTTCATCAATTTCGACAATATTGTCTCACACCGCCACTCTACGCATACATAAACCATATACATTAAGAGCGAACAGATTTGAACAGAACATGAGCAGTACCTGAAATTGATCGCTGAGCAGCTGATTCAAGCAGAGACAACGAATGTAGCCGTATCAGTCCTCCACTGTAGTCTCCGGCACGTCCGCTATCTCCGCCGCGTTGACGTCCGACGCTTGCGTCCAGCGTGCATACAGTAGCCGAGCGGCTTGGGCAAGCGACAGCTTCATCCCAGAAAACCAGGTATTAGCTAAAAACTCAGACGTACCTTCCTACCATCATCATGACGTTTCTTGCGGCAGCACCGCCAGTGTTTCGTCTTTTCGGTTGCTCTTATACGCATGAGCGGTTGACAGCTTGGGCAACTCACAGAGTCCTCATGAATCCGTGCTTGTTACACCCACACTACCGCTGCCACCCTCGTCGCTCGTCGTCTCAACGATTGCGGTGAGAACGTTGTGGAGGGCGTAGTGGTGGCCGGTTGCGCTAGGCATGGTAGGGAGGCTGACAGAGTCTGGTGTGGCACAAATACTTTGCAAAGTGAGTGAGTGAGTGTGCAAGCGGGACGAAAATCTGGTAGGGAGGGAACGGGGGCAGTTCCGCGCTCACATTCAAAAATTTAGTAATTTGTTTTTGCACAATCCGTGCAAATGTTGTCGAAAACGAGGGCATAACATTGTTATTTGCAAATTCGGGTTATGGGCAAATCTTGTGTGACGCAACACTGGTCAAAACACGAACCAAAAAAATATTGTGAGAAATTACAATAAGAAAAAACAGAGCGGGATCCGTGTCATAATCACAATAACGAGTGGCTGATAGGTATCGGTCGGTGCCAGCTGGATTTCTGAAGTGCTGATAGTATATTTTTGGTGTTTTGCTAGCCAAGACTAATGCAAGCAGTACCCACTGATTCGTATCTAGTTTCCATTCTGCTCGAGGTAAAGATAACGTGAGAGAGAGCCTGCAAAACTTTTTTTATATATGCTACTTCGAAGTATAGCTAAATGCAAGGGAAAATGCAAGGGAAAATGCTAGAGGTGACTCGATTCGAATAGTACTTCAAAACGTGACTCAATACGGTACATTAGCATAATGAAGCTCGTTCGTCACTTAATTTAAACCCATACAAACCAAGGTGTTCGCTGTGAAAAATCCTAACTTAAGTCATTCTTTAAAAAATATTTTTAATAAAATTGTACTTCGAAGTAATTTTTACAACTACCACCTAAAATGCCTTGAAAAGAAGGTCCACAAAGTCCTTAAGTTTGGCCTTAGGTTCGCATGCTGGTATGTCATTTCTAAAAACTTAAATGACTTTTATGGCTACATCGTCTTCTTGGTTCTCTTCGGATGCTCTACGTCTTCTAGAGGCCCGCAACCGACGTGAAGTGACCGCCTTTAGTGAATTGATTGCGTCTCACCAGCAGCTTTTATTCCGCTCGTCGCTAGGCGCGAGCTCCTCGTCTCTAAGTGCGTCTCAGCGTCTCACAAACCCTCAGGAACAAGATGATGCCACTGCACAGAGATATTTGGCGGCTATTCAGAAGCTGGAACACGAACTGGCGGACAGAAACGCGCAGCTAGCGAACTACGCAGGTCAGCAGCTAGCACTGGTGAGCGAGAGCAAGACGCTACTCCAAGAGCGCGAGCAATGGGAGCAACAGCTTCTTCTGCTTACCAAACGTCTGGACGAGGAGACGGTATTAAGTCACGAGAAAGATAAGGCGTTAAAGGAGCTTGAAGATGCTTTAGTATTATCCAGAGAGGAGCTAGCGAGACAGAGAGCGCTACTGGAAGGCAGTGAAGCGGAGGGGAGCCGACTCAGGAAGAGAAACGCTGAATTAGAGAGGCAAGTGCAGGAGAAGAACGCGCTGTTGCATGAATGGATTCAATCGAACAGTGGAGAGAAGAGTGGCGAGCCATCTCCTGCTCTTGTGGCAATGGCTACACAGGAGGCAGCAGAAAGTTTGACTCATTTATTATTAAATGAGGAGGAAGGACTCAGTGGAGAAGGTGTAGCCAAACTCGTGACTCATGTAACGCACTCGATCCGCGCACACGCCACTGAAGTAAATTCGGTGTGTTTTAACACGTCGGGCAAGATTTTGTTTAGTGGCAGTAGTGACGGCACAGTGAGGGCGTGGGAAGCCGAGGCCGCGTCCTTGTCGCCTCCCAGAGCTCTCGGAGAGTACAGAGGAGTGGGTACAGCTCATCCGTTGCTGTGTGTGCGAGCATCAGAGGACGGAGCGCTTATCTTGGGTACAGGATGTGACCGCAAGTGCTTTGTATGGAGAGTAGGCACTGGGCGCGTCATGCAGACTCTTACAGGACACAAAGGCAAAGTGTTGGCAGCTGAATTCTCGCCTGTTACGCCACATGAAGTGATCACAGGCTCGTCAGACCGCAGTCTCCGTGTGTGGGATGTCTTGCGCGGTGTGCGTCTTCAAACTGTGAGTTGTGTATCGAGCTGCAATGACATCGCGGCACCTTCTGGAGCAGACTCGGGCTTCGTACAGTTCGCGAGTGCGCATCAAGACGGTGCAGTGCGCTTCTGGGATACCAGAACTAGACGCTGTGTACAGGAACTACGTGGCCTTCACACCGAGCAGACGACTTCTGTGAGTTTTGGAGGTAGTGAGTTACTTACAAACTCACGGGATCATACTCTTAAAGTTATCGATCCTCGAACGTATGGAGTTCTTCGCGAATTGCACCATAAAGACTTTCAATGTGGCTTTGACTGGGGCCAAGCGTCTCTCAGTCCCGACGGGAGATACGCTCTTGCAGGCGGGGCGTCGGGTGTTCTCTTTATCTGGAGTGCACGTACTGGGAAGCTCGAGAGGCAGCTGAAGCCTGGACCTACAGGCCACCACGGGGCTGTAGCGTGCTGTGTGTGGCGCCCTGACGGCCAGGGCGTCGCGTCATGTGACAAGAACGGCGTGGTGGTGCTCTGGGAGTAAAAAACAACAAGAGTCCCGCTTTGTATTGAGCATTTTATTGACAACTCTCTAGTCCTTGAGGTCGAAGGATGTGCCACAACCGCAACCAGCGACTGCGTTGGGGTTGTTGACTACCGCGAAGGCGCTGCGGATCAGTTCCTGTTCGTAGTCCACGGTGCTGCCTCGGATAAGCTCGAGAGATTCTTTGTCCACGACCACTTTGCCCCCGTGTTGCTCGAAGACGACGTCTTCCTCTGCGTCGGGCGTCGCGTCCTTTTCGAACTCGATCACGTACTGGAAACCAGAGCAGCCGCCGCCTTCCACTGCCACGCGTAGCATCAAATTCTTCGCCTTCTGTCGCTCGGCCGCTTCAAGTAATTTCTAAATAAAAATAAATATACGTAATCAAATAAGAAAAATGTTGTGGTGATGGGGTTTTGAAGAATTGGGGCGTACCTGAGCTGCGATCGGCGTGATGATAAGATCTGGGAGGCCTGTGTCGCGTGTCACTTGGACGTTGGAGATCCACCGAGGCTGCGGAGTCTGGAGAACGCGCTGCAGAGGCCGCGAAAGCACTGACCGCATGTTCATCATCATTGTCGGCTTTGAGAATGAAGGTTACGGTGCTGCGTAACCCATCAAAAGTAGTTTAAACAAGGTTTATTTGAGTTTAAATTGTGTGTACAGAATGTCAAAATGGGACAAGATGGCAACCGTTAAAGAAAGCGTCGTTCAGTGTACTTGTCCACTTCTTGATCACGATGCATGTCGTGCCATTACAAGTGAAGCAGCAGCAAGAAAGAGAAGGAACGCACGTCGTTGCGGTAAGGCCACAGGTTGATGACAGGCGCGTTCAAAGTCGAGATGATGTCGAGCACTTGTACGAACTCAACCATTTCCATAATTCGAGTTGAACAAGACGGTGGTGTCTCAGCTTCTACCTGTGTATGATTATGCACAGATTTTCTAAATTCGTTTCTAGTTCGACTCTTTCGAGTGAGTTTGCTGTTCTTCGGTTGTCTACTCTTCGTGCCCGTCAAGTCGTTCTCTCTCGACGTGTTGATTTTGCTGGCTTGTCAGTACGAATTCTGGTTTATCACTGCACTAAACACTGTCAACTGGGCTGGGTCGGGCATGATCTTTGGAGACATCCGAGCGATCTCGTGTGACGAGTTCACAGAGCGTTGTGCTTATTGACGCCAACTACCGCACGTTTCCGACTGCAGTCAAGTCCATTGCCATCAGTGGGCCCTTCTTGATACTCCTGGTTGTCTGCTGCTCGTACAACCTCGTGGCAGATGCGAGTTATCCAGTTACGAGATAGGTAAACTGACCCTCCCATCGCGTCAAGCTGTCGTGTTCACGGCGTCTACTTTGTCCGTCTTCGTTGTCAAGAAAGCTTACACGAAAAACCATCGCATGCGTACCCGTCGTCACGATCGAGAAAGCGATCCCGACACTGCTCAAGGCTTACACACCGTGCGTTGGTTTGCACGCTCGACTGAGACTAAGACATTGTGGTTTCGAGAAAAGGTTTGGACACACTCACTTTGGTGCGTCGACGATCAGAACCCTCATGGTGTTGGCTCCAAGATCCAGACCAGTCGATGCTGTGTCAAACATCCAGAATTGAAGCTTGCTCCTCACGATCCGCTCATTGTAGACGCGAGGAACGTGGTGTTACCTGGCAACCTCTTAAAGTGGGTAGAGAATCCTTGTGCTCAATCAGCACTTTACATTGCCGGTGTCGTGGGGCTCAGTGCAACAGCGATCGTGTGGATAATGATCCCGTGTCACCAATAGAAAGCTCCAGGGAGGACCTCAAATTGGCCATTTCTATTGTTGCCGGTGTGTGTTCACTGGCATTTTTATTTGTTGCTGTATCGCTCGCTCAAAGGGACTTAATACGCTTAGTAGTCTGGAATTTCGATGTACTATTCTCAACTTCCAGGGAACTGCACTAGCGCTGTGTCTTGTGGATTTATTGAGTTGGAGCACATCGGCCACTCTCGCTGTTATCTCTTGGTGGCTTTGGTTTCATTGCCTACTAGTCTTCGACGCATTAACGCTAAGTCTTACACGTAAGCTGAAACATTTCGGTCTACCTGTAATTATTGTGATACTCTCTGTTGCTGCTGGTTGTGCGCTGGAGTTGATAAAGGAAAATGATAACGGATTCTTTTCTTCTTGTGTGTCAATCTGAGTAGAGCTCATTTTGACATACACACCTCTAGTCTAGCGATACAACGGACGTTCACGATAGTAGGCTGGTTCCTCGTCTGTAAGTGGAACTTGTGACTGGAAGCCCGGACCAATTGCTGTTCATTTATTGACAAGTCGAATTCTTCAGTCTATTCCCGACATTCTCCGACCCACCACCTTCACTGTAGATCGAATGACCAAAAAAAATGGTGGGATCGACGCGTGATGCACACACTAGATAAAAATGACGACCTATAGAGCCCTAACTAGGAAACTACAGTTCTTCGGATAGACTTCTCATCCTCAACGATCATTCACCTCAGCGAAACAGTCGACATTTTTTTAGGAGTTGCCCATTCCTGTCGCTAAAATAGCTAAGCTTAAGCCCAGTCTGACATCATCCCCCCCCGTGTGCGTGAATGCAGTCTGTGTCGTCGAGTTAATTCTTTGGGATGACTGTAGTCCGCATAGTCCCGATACCGCGACGACACACGACGCCGGACGAGAAGCTCCTTCGGCCAAGGATACAACTGGAGACTCGAGAGCACGCAGCTTATCTATACAAATTCGAGGCTACCCGACCACTCCCCGTTGTTGATCTCAGAGACACTCTATCATATCAATGGCTGGGACCACAGCGAAATCTAAAATTTCTACGTTGGATGAAGACGAATTTTGACTATATGCACTTCGGCCAAGTACTGGGAATCTTACTGGTAATAGGCGTGGTGGCTACGCCACGTGAAGTCGGAAAAATTCTAGGACCAGTTTCTGCGGCGCTATCGATGACGTCCTTAGTCAGCTCTATGGCGACTGCAAGCCTCCATGTATTGAGGCTTCTCTCTCGACATTACGAGTTCTGGTTCTTCACGGGTGCTAACTTCGTGGCTTGGACAACGCTCGCTTTCTTCTTAGGAGATTTGTTACGAGTCATGTGTTTAGTTCCACTCTGGCTCAACTCTCAACTTGCCATCTCGATGGATTCCAACTTCCGCACGTTCGTGATAGCTATACGCACAAACATTTTATTGTTGACGGTTCTTATAGTCATCGCTGTTCTCGTCTTCCTACAAGTCGTAGATGTCGACGAAGCTCGATTTGACACCACGGTCCCTTTAACTGGAGCTCTGGACGATGTCACGTTGCCGTTACTGGGACTGTTTGAGAACGCTTTAGCTACGTTGATCCCGTTCATCATGCGAGTGTTATACACGAAACGGAAACTCTTTGCAGCTCACAGTGCCGGCTCTAAGCTCATCCGGTGTCAGCTGTATCGGACGCAACTCGTGCTGCGTCCTGTACGGTACTCCCGAACTGCCAGTCTTGGCATCGAAACCAGCAGTAGAGGTCACGTTCTGCACAAGCAGCTCGGAATCTCGTCCCCAGTCATGTCCATCGCAAGTGCCAACGACACAGCTCAGCATCATCAACAGATCACACTTGTGGCATTGCGACTTAGCGCCATTGATACACGGAACACTGTGCTAAAATCGTGGCCAAGGAAGCCTCCTGGACGCTTCTCCGTCTTCAAACTCATCGCGATCTACGCTACTGGATCGTACGGTCTAGCTCTCACTGTTGCAACGCTAATTCTACCTCCAGGCGGAGAGCAATCAATGAAGGAATACGCCGTCCCTGTCGTCGGATTCATGCTCAGCTTGGCATTCTGTACCGTGTTCGCATGCGCAAGTCAGCGCGATATGCTGCGTGCCTTGTTATTCCACAACTTTGGTTTTCTATTCGCAATGATGCACTGCTCTATGGCGTGTCTGTGTGCCTCGGATATGATGAGTTGGGATTATCGCTGTTGGGCTGTGGCGAGTGCTTTCCTGTGGTTCGTGTGGGTCCAGCTGCTGGATGCTGTGACTCCTCCTATACGACGACAACTCTTTTTCTCGAAGCTACAAGTGGTGCCAGTGTTGTGGTTGTTGTGGGCTCTGATGTTCGCAGTGGCATATGCCAGTATCTTTATCCCCGCAGAGAGCAGTGGATTGCATGGAAGGAATCTATTGCACTTCCACGTAGGCCACAAAGACACGGTGATCAACACCAAGATCATCCTTATTAATCGTGTATTCATCATGTTCTTCTGGATGCAACGTCATGCGTGGAATGCCTTCAAAGGAGCGTTCATACGCTGCAGACTGTTGATGCACCCGCCAATTATTTCAGAAGATACGGATGAAGACGCTCTAGATCCGGACGAAGAAGAGCTGAGTATTATGCGTGGATCTTTGGAATATTTCTGTCCATTCGACACTTTCCCCGGACTAAGACGCAGGACCCGAAGTCTACGGATGCAATCCAGTAGTGTGAGTAGTATTCGAAGGAACTCGTTGACTGGACGACATCGTATTCGACGTCTCAGTTCTGCTACTTTGTTGACTGGCGTGACGGTGTCTACAGATGAACAACGGCGGAAAACCAGACGAGGTGCGTTCGGACAGCGGTCAAGCGCCTCAAGTGTTCACCATGCAGTCATTCCTGTACGAGAGAAGAGGGTGTGGGCGGAGTCTGTCCCTGGTGTGATCAGCGACGAATAATAATAGTAAAAAGTAATGGTAGTATTCCATGGACGTCGGTACTACTTGTGGATTGCTACTTTTTCTTGTGAATCCGGGCGATGAAAAGTCCGCTTGTGTTTTGTGACGGCGTGAAGCGTAAAGTACCCGGAAGTTTTCCTTCCTACGTAAGATAAGTCAATTTCCTGTAAGTAATATATTCAGAAGGTCATTCCTTACCTTGCAAGGAACGTCGTGGTCGACAGTAGTCTGATCCAGTGTAGCTAGCGGTTGATCTTCAAGAAACTTCGATACAATGTCTTCGTTCTGCTTTACAGATAGCGAGCACGTGCTGTAGATCATCGTGCCTCCTGGTCGTAGCAAGCTGAAGCCATTCCGGATCAGTCCATGCTGTAATTTAAGAATCCGTTCGATCTCACTTGAATTTAAGTGGTCTCGCACGTATTCTTCCCACTTTGCACCGGTTATCAGTCGCTGAAGATGACGAATTGACCCGTCGTGGGTGCACTCGGCATCTACCAGCACTTTGTCGTACAGTGCCGAGTCCACAACCAGCAGCTTCTGGCGCTTAGCGTCTCGAGCTCTAGCGCTTTTGTTCTTGCGTTTGCGCATACGATCTTTAGGAGCTCTAGACGCGATCTCCTGGGTGTCTAGTAGCAGTCCCATGCCGTCTATATGCACGCACTCTGTCTTGGGACCGATGTTAAACGTTCTGCCGTCTGCATGGAACAGTCGACATCTCCACTTGTTGTCCTCGTTTTGAGACTCGAAGAGCTTGTATTTGTGCACCAATTGTCTGCAGGCCCCCAGTCTTGATCGAGAGAAATCGACTCCTGTGACGCTTCCACGGAGCTGCAGGAGGTCAGCGATCATAGTCAGCTTGGCGCCAGGAGCACAACACAAGTCCAAGACGTGCTCTCCTGGATTGATATTTAGCAGAGTTACAGCGTAGCCCGACGAGATGTCGATACCGTAGATTTGTCCTTCTTTGTAGAGATCGACTCTAGCTAATGGCGCTGAAACAGGAAGCGAGTAGAAGCCTGGAAGCCACGAAACAGCTTTGGGGTGGACGTCTGATGACTCTTCAGATACGTTTTCTGCTGCTTCTCGCAATAAATTGGCGGCGATTGCCTGCAGACGAGGATCTTCAGTGTCCTTTTCGCTGATGCTGTTGAGTTGCTTGAGTCTAAAGGGATAGATGGCGTCGAAATTACATTAGTGTCATCTAAACAAGGAATGATACACAACTTTAGATCCCTGTAGCTACGTACCGGAAGAAGCGAAGCGACTCTCCATTGGCTGATGGGTTGAGAAGGTCGCGCGGATTTACGTGATGATCCGACAGGAAGCGCAAGAAGCCCGACGACTCCCATACACCCTGGTCATCCCACGCTGTGGTCGAGTCCTCCACCATTGTGATTTGTTTTGACCATTTACTCAAACGATATAGTCACTCAATCGAGGGACACACATTTATCGTGAACCACAGACTTACAACAGCAAGTGCCAAGATGATGTCGGCTCTGTTGCGTTATGCTGCCCGCCGCCCGGCCACGCAGGCGTTCCGCCCGGCTGCCCAACAGCAGCGCTCGCTGTGGATCTCGGTGCCCGAGGGCCAGGACGCGAGTCGCGTGGTCGGCCGCATGCAGACGATTCTGGCCGAGGACGGCACGCTCAAGACGCTGTCGCTCAAGCGGTTCCACGAGAAAAAGTGGCAGAAGCGCAAACGCAAAAACGAGGAGCAAAATATCCGCCGCGCTAACCGCCGCGTCGGCTCCATGATCGACTTCATCCTGCGCCGCAAGAAATCGTACGTGTCTCGCTCTACATGTGTCAATAGACCCTAACAGTACTAACCTGCTCTTAAACTGTGTGGCTTCGCAGGGGCCACTAAGCAACTCGACACCTAGAAACGAGAAACTCTTGGTGAATATAGCAAAGATGATTGATAACTGTTTCTGACGGTTGTGAAGCAAGTGCAACTGGTTGCTTCGTTAAGGTGGAAGAGCATTATAAAGTCGCGGCCGAGGTGGCGAAGGTCGATGTCTGCAGTCGCCTGATCTAGGTGAGCCACGTCTTGATGTCGGCAATCTGCTTCTGCACGGCGCTTTTGCTGGTGCCGCCCGTGACGTTCTTGCGCTCGACGCTGACGTCAAAGTTCCAGACTTCCAGCACGTCCTCCTCGAACTTGGCGTGCAGCGTGGACAACTCCTCGAACGTGAGTGCGCTCAGAGCCTTGCTCTTGTCCTCGGCCAGACGCACGGCCGCGCCGGCCACGTGGTGGGTCTCACGGAAAGGCACGCCCTTGCGCACCAAGTACTCGGCCAGGTCCGTGGCCAGCATCTCGGTGACCAGGAAGCTGCGCATCTTGTCGCCATGCGGAGTCATAGTGGCCAGCACGCCAGTGGCGATCTGGAGGCAGTCCTGGATGGTGTCCACGACGTCGAACAGCGCCGTCTTGTCCTCCTGCAGATCCTTGTTGTACGAGCGCGGCAGGCCCTTGAGCGTCACCAGGAAGCCGTTGAGACGGCCAATGACAGTGCCGCTCTTGCCACGCAGCAGCTCAAGTGCGTCCGGGTTCTTCTTCTGCGGCATGAGCGAGCTGCCGGTGCTGTAGGCGTCGGCCATGGTCACGAACTTGAGCGTGTTGTAGATAATGAGGTCCTCCGACAGCTGCGACAGGTGCACCATGAACATGGAGGCCCAGAAAAGGAACTCGGCGATGAAGTCGCGGTCGCACACGCCGTCCAGGCTGTTGGGCGTCACGTTAGCAAAGCCCAGAGACTTGGCCAGAGCCTCACGGTCGAGGCCGAACGAGTTACCGGCCAGTGCGCCGTTGCCCAGCGGCATGTAGTCCACGCGCTTGGTGAGGTCGGCCAGACGGTCGGCATCACGCAGCAGTGCGGCCCCGTGGCTCAGTACCCAGTGCGAGAAGCGCAGCGGCTGGGCCGGCTGCAGGTGCGTGAAGCCAGGCATGAGCAGGTCGATGTTGTTCTCGGCCAACTGGTTGGCCGTGCCGATAAGCTCTTTCAGGCCGTCCTGGATGCCCACGATGGTGCGCTTCAGGTACAGACGCACATCCGTGGCCACTTGGTCATTGCGGCTGCGGCCAGTGTGCAGCTTGCCGCCCACTGCGCCAATGAGCTCTGTAAGACGACGCTCGTTGGCCGTGTGGATATCCTCGTCACCATCCTTGGGCTGGAAGGTGCCGGCCGCCCACTCCTCACCGACCTTGTCCAGGCCATCCACGATCTCGTCCGCTTCGGCCGTCGTGAGCACACCGCTCTTCTCCAGAGCGCGAGCGTAGGCCTGGCTGCCGTCCAAGTCCACGCGCCACATGCGCTTGTCCACGGACAGCGACTCGTTGAACTTGTTCATGACAGGGTCCACGTTGCCGCGGAAACGGCCGCCCCATAGCTTCTTGGCCTCCTTCGGTGCTTCGGTCATGGCAGTAGATCGGGTGGGTGTGGTGTCACTTCAGGTCCTATCAGGATCTAATGCACTCCAGCGGCACGATCCGTCCACGCTAAACATTAAGATTAGAGCTTACTGGTGGAAATGCTCTCAAGATGTGTTTCTAAATAAAACTGCTTCATCCTAATCCATTTCTAAAGAATAAAGCGATCCCAATTAGAGATGGCGGACGAAGTTGTCGACGTGCCTGAGGCGAGTCTGCGCAACCTGGTGGCGCAGAAGTCGCTGCAGTGGATCTTTGTAGGCGGCAAGGGCGGCGTGGGTAAGACCACCACGTCCTGCTGCCTGTCTATTCAGTTGGCGGCGCAACGAGAGAAGGTTCTCATCGTGTCCACGGACCCTGCGCACAACCTCAGGTGGGTCTTCCTTGCGCTCTCCCTCTTCCTATATACGATAATAACCGGCTCCTCCACATTCGTAGTGATGCATTCGGCCAGAAGTTCACGCGCGAGCCGACACCAGTCAACGGCTTCTCCAATCTTGCAGTTATGGAGATCGACCCCAACGTCGACGTACGTGGTCGCTCTGCGCTCATCCTACCTGCGCTCTGTATACTAATCGCCCAACCTTCTGGAATTGTCTTCAGCTTGAAGAAATGAACGGCGATGGCGTGCAGGACAACTCTGGTATGGCTTCGTTCATGAAGGACTTGACCAATTCCATCCCCGGTATCGATGAAGCGATGAGTTTCGCTGAGCTCATGAAGCAGGTGCAGAACATGGATTACTCTGTCATTGTATTCGACACGGCCCCCACAGGCCACACGCTGCGTCTGCTGAGTTTCCCCACGGCGCTAGACAAGGCGTTTGACAAGATTCTGTCGCTTAAGAACCAGTTCTCGGGGATGTTCTCGCAAGTGTCGGCACTCTTGGGCGGCGCGCTGCCCTCGCAGGAAATGCTGCTGGGCAAACTGGAACAGACGCGTGAGGTCATTCAGAAGGTGAACGCGCAGTTCAAGGACCCAGAACGCACCACGTTCGTGTGCGTGTGCATCCCTGAGTTCCTGTCGCTGTATGAGACCGAGCGACTCGTACAGGAGCTCACCAAGTACGAGATCGACGTGCACAACGTCGTAGTGAACCAGGTACTGTACCCAGAGGAGGGATCAACGTGCAAGAGCTGCAACGCTCGCCAGAAGATGCAGCAGAAGTACATTGACCAGATCTACGACCTGTACGAGGACTTCCATGTGGTGGAGATGCCGCTGCTGACCGAGGAGGTGCGTGGCGTGCCGGCGCTCAAGACTTTCTCCGAAAACCTGCTGGCACCGTATGAGCATGTCTACACTAGCATTTAGCCGAGAGCTGTGAAGTTCAACACGTCTAGAGCTGCCTCTTAGTCACTGTCACTATAATCTGCCACTAAGCTTGCTACAGGCTTGACAGGAGTCTTGGGCTTGGCTCTCTTCTTTTTAGCCACTACCGTTGCTTTCTTCTTGATGGTCACAGCCAGTTTAAGTGGCGTCTCTACTGTGTCTTTTCCTTTGGAGGAGGCAAGTCCAGTTGACGTCTTTTGTTCTTCAGTGGCGTCACTTACTGGTCTTTTGAGCATATTCTGCTTCTGCTGTCTCTCCTCGAACACTCGATGTGCCTCCTGTCTGTCCTCCTCTAGCTGTTTCGCCTGCTCCTCTTTGCTGAGCTTACCCACGTCTGCGTGTTGTTGCAATAGTTTGTCAGTGTCCACCTTGGCGTGGCGCTGGTTGATGGCTTTGATCTCATCCAGCGCGTCCAGAATGTCCATCTCGCGTTTAGAGTCAAGTGTGCGGTTCTCTAGTGCCTTCATGGCGTCTCCTTTCTCCTCCTCGACGCGCTGGGCGACGGCTGCCGCCTCCTCGTCCTCGTTCTCGCGCCAGGGCTCAAAATTGCGCTGACAACCGTGTTCGGCGACGTAATCGCCACGTTTGGGGTCCGTCTTGAAGGTGATTTCAGACGAGCACGTGATGCACTTGATGTAGAAGCGATAGATGCGGATACCGTGGTAATTCTCCTCCAGTACTTCTTCTTTGCGCGAGTTAAACTTCTTGCCGCGGTACATGTACTCGCCACAAGTGGCGCACTGGATAGAGAAGGGTAGCATCATGCGCACCTCCACCTGCTCATTCTTAGGCTTCTTGCGACGTGGGATCAGCGACGGATCGAAGTCCGGCGGGAAGTATTTGTTCAGCACCTTGCGCTCGCCCATGATGAAAGTTGTGGAGTTGAATAAAATGATGCAGAAGATGGCTTGATGTACCCATATTGGATTACGAAAGTAATCATCTTCCAGAAAGTATCGAGATGGCCCCTTGAACCTAGCTACGAGCATTATTATTCTAGGATAAGTTACTTGAATATTTTTTGAGACATTCACCAAGCAATTTGGTTTTACCAAGCAAAACCCTAAAAGCCAACCTCAGAATGTTCTCGTTCTGTGTGAGGTTTTGTTATGAGCGCTCCTTGCCAAATTGGAGCAAGCAGAGAGGCGTCGTGGTCGAATTCGCAGTCGTACGCGCTGTGACCGTACGCGGGAGCCTCGGGGCCGCGAGCGCTCACGCTCACGGAGTCGGGAACTGCAGTGGAGACATCACTCGTTGTCCCCACCGTCAGCGAGGCTTCGTATTCCTTCACAACATCCGCGGAATATTCCATCAAGCGGCAACGCGGCTCCGACGTAATCTCCGCTGACGAATAACCCAGCTAGTAACCCAGTAGTGTCTCTCTAGAACGCGAGGCTAGAAAACACTCGTCGATGGGTCTGTCGCGCGAGGCGTACGCATGTCGTGATCAACGGAACGCTCGACAAGCCAGCATCGACCTCCCAATGCATCGAGCAGTGGAGTGGTCCATCGCGTTAAAAGGGCAGACCACGGGCGTAAAGGGTCGCTCCGGGTGGACCGCCTGGAGGGGCGAAGGTTTCGTCGGTTTTGCAGCTTGACGAGTCGGCTCGGAGCGACGAGCGATGGAGCAGTGTCGCTTGATGCGCGTAGAGGCGAACAATGCGACGAACGACGCGCTGGAGGCTCAAGAGATGTATCGAGACGATCGCGATAATGTGAGTGTCTCGCGGAACGAACTCGTCGTGAGCTAAGGGATCTTGTAGAGAGATTGAGGCGTCTGGAAGCCGCAGCGCTCGGCGCTCCACAGCCGAAGGAGACGGAGCGCGCGCAGCGGGGCCTTAAACCGAGTCGTCGACAGCGGGGTCAGTTGGGAAGGCCGGACTACGTGCCCTCGGGTGGATGTCAGGGATGTTCGCCGAGTGAGATCGATTGAAACATCCGGCGTTCTACGCCGGATGGAGGTGCACAGTCATAGGTATGTCCAGCGTACAGTCATCTACATGAGCTTACTTTATTCAAAAAGGGCCTTTAAATCTTGGTGCCAGCTTGTTGGTCCCCAAGTTTGTTACTACCGATGTCTGAATTCCAGTGGTCAACAATAAAACCCGGTTACCTTGTCGGGAGGTAGTCGAATTAGAACGCCTGTACGGCCCTGGGCGAGGCAGACCGAAAACAAAGTCCATGCTGACAGATCGCCATGCCTCTGTGGCGATAGGCAGAGGGCGCAATTGAGATTGTGGCGAAGGCGAAGGTTTGACACGTTGGAAAGTCACGCACTAGCGACCCTATTAACACACCCATTTGTATATCCGGGGCCAGTAGAAATCTTGTGCAAGCGCAGCGAATGCCTTCTCGTGATCGAGATGACCACCGGCGGAAATATTGTGATACTCGTGTACCAAGCGAGCACGAAGATCCGGAACGACGACACGCGGCGGGTTGAAAGCGTCCATAGAGTACGTAAGCAGCGCGCCGTCAAGATCCATCCGCTTGGTACGATCGCGTGTCGGTCACGTAAGTTTCTTCAGGGCTTCTGCACTCGGTGCTCGGAGGTACGCCATGATGTTCACGTAAAACGGATCTCCATTGTACGAGCCAATGATTTGGTCGCGGAGGGACGTAAATGGGCTCGAGATCGTCGCGCTAATCTTCATCTCGACACAAGAAGCACAATCTTTATCGTCTTCGTCTTCAGGAATCGCCTGATGACCAATCTCTCGTCTTGGATCGTAGTCAGGACGGCGGGGCAACGCATCAGCAAGGATGTAAATTTCAATTATATTCTTTCCGGGCTAGTAGTGGATGACAAAGTTGTATCTGGCGAAGAACGACAGCCAGCGGGCCATCCGCTGCGATAGATGCGGGCTCTTCATAGCTGTCCTTAGCGGCGCATGGTCCGTGTAGACGGCGACGTTTTCTCTCCGAGTAAATACACTATGAGCTTAATCAGAGCGTACAGCATCGCAAGATGTTCCTTTTCATGAATGGCATAATTCTTCTTCTCGGCCGGCTTCATCTGACGTGACTGGTAGCACACGACGCGTTCGCGGCCCTCGTCATCGAGCTGCACGACGGCGCAGGCGATAGCAAAGTCGCTCGCATCACACACAATGTGAAAGATCTTTGTATCGTCCGATACCATCAGGATCGGCGCCACCACCAAGCTCTTCTTGACATAATCAAAAGCCGCTTGGTGCTCCGGGCGCCATGATCAGGCCACGTCCTTCTTCAGCAGCGAGGCCAGCGGCTGTATCAGCTCGGCGTAATTTTTGTACACTGGTGAGAGTAACTCGCCAGACCCAGCAATTAACGCAGCTCCGTGGGGTTCTTGGGAGTGGTGGTCCAAGAACAAAACAACAAGATATTTTTCCGGGTCAGTACCGACGCCGTCCATGCTTACGTATTTCCCGAGGACTTGGATCTCTGGTGCGCAGAGGACGTACTTCGTCAGGTTCCCATACAACTTTTCCTCGCGCATGACCTGAAACACTTGCTTTAAGTGCCGGAGATGGACTTCGACACCGCTGAAAAACCTTTAGAGCGTCTGTGGACGAAGTAGTCATCGACGTTGCTCGGGGCAAAGTCTCGTAGGGGTCGCAAGACGTGAGAAGCCATCCGTTTGAACGTAGCGAGTCAATCGAGTATTAGGAGACGGCTTACGCAGAAACGCCACGTCCTTCACTTCGTGGAGTGCCTTTCAGCGCTTGCCGAATTTTCCATCAACAATGCCGTACACGAGTCAACAGGATTGACGCCGTTCTTCGTGAACAACGCGCGCCATCCGCGCGTCCCCCACTCTTCTTGTACTCGGCGCATCTTCGGTCGCCATACACTCTACTTTTGGGTGAGGGGGGAATGGCTGAAGCGCCAAGTGACCCGGCGCTGGTGTGACGTCACGTTGAGCGCCACTCACAAGAAGTCCCCGACTGAGCGAGCCAACAGCGTGGCTAAACGCTGCCGCACTGTCAGCATGAGTGTTTCGATTTTATTAAGCTGTCTAGGAAACCAGCTCATTAGCTGATGTCTTACTGTTCAGTAGGACACCTGACGACCTAGTCTGTTTGCTGGATGCTCTTTCATGGATGCCGGGCAGCTTAATTTTGAAACCGGAAGTCGAACTTTATACTTCGTACACCCTTCACTCTATTTAGTCTGACCCAAACTAATTATGCTAAAAAGGCCAGGGCACAATTTTTCGGGATTTTAATTGCCCGCTTTGTGAAAACTACCGATTAAATTTCAATAAAAAGCGTGTACTAGAGGGAGCGGGATCTATATAAAAACCGGTCATTTTGATGGTATTGGTGAAATGTGATAAAATTCCCCACATTTGTGACGTCACTAAAGCGCGAATGCATGACTAATTTCGCTAATTAGAGTGAAGGGTAGTACATGTCCGCGCTGATTTGGCCTTTGATATTTGTCTTCGTTCTGAAAAAAAATTTAGTGAAATTGTGACGGGCCATCGCCACACAGTGTCACCGCAGTAACGGTTGGCGTGGTCTCACGACCACGCCGTTAGCTTTAAATGTCAGAGCTCTATTTGCTTGCTTCCTCCTACAGTGCATGCTAAGTAACGGGTTGGCTTAGCCCCGTTACACCCGGTACCACTTCGTAATCCGTCCAACGCCCACGACGAATGACACGTCGATGAACGACGCGTCCTAGATGTCCAACACGTCTCTGGAACATGCCAGCTTCACCCACCTGTCTTCAATCGAATGAGAGGCGTTGCACCGCCTCACTGCTGCGACCGGTGAGGCTGTCATCCAAACGTTGCTCAGTGCTGGCACAGTAGCCCAACAACGCCTGGCCGCCCAGGAGCTCATGGCGCGTGCGTATAGACTTTCACGTCGTCCACGAGCAAGACTGGCATCGTCAAACTCGATGTCTCCCCATATCCTTGTTGGGCATGACACGGACGAGCCACCGTGTCTTCGTGAAGTTGAGGTCACACGAACCCCCGCGCGAAGCCGCATTGATCACAAAGCTGTCTGGCCTCTCGTGGAAACACTACCTCCACGACCTGAAGCGCGGCGAGATCGAACAAGTGTGTTTGCTTGTGGCTACTGACGCCGCGTCCATCGCGGATGGCCACGTCGATCCTGACGCCTCGGCGTCTGATTCTCGGACGCGGCCCAAGGGAGCTGAATCGAAAACAGCCCGAGAAGCCCGCCATGCTACTCAATCGTTGCCGGCCCTCGAATCATCCGACAATCCTGTTGCTCCTCTCGTCCGCGAATTCGTCGACGTTTTTCCCGACAGAATCCCGGCTGTCCTTCCGCCGGATCGTGATGTCCGACACGAGATTGATCTCGTGCCTGCCGCCAGATTTTCTGCGTTACCAGGCAATGGCCGCTTCCCCGCGACCAAGTCGATGCAATAGGCGCCTTCTCAAAGTCGCCGACAAGCCGACCACATTCGCGAAAGCTTGTCGCCTCACTCCAGTCCTACCTTCTGCGTCAAGAAAGCGACTGGGGGATGGCGGATCGTCCACGCGTTCAACAAGCTTAACAAAGCTACCATTCCGGCGCAAACGCCGATCCCTCGTTAGGATATGGTACAGTACTTGATTCGATGTCGGGCAGTACCACATACAGTGCGATTGATCTGATGGACGGCTTCTATCAGATCTTAACGCGCGAAGACGACGTGCCGATGACCGCTGTCAGCACGCCCAGTGGAATGTTGTGGGAGTGGCTCGTCATGCCGCAAGGAATCAAGAGCTCCCTAGCCACCTTCAGCCGCATGTTATCCAACTTGTTACGCCCGTAACGCGACTTCGCGCCTAGCTACTTTGATGGCATCTTCATTCACAGTCATGCCGAAGCCGGAATGACGGATACCGAAGGACCTCCGTACGGTGCTCGAAGTGATGCGTGAGAACAAGTTGTTTGCCCACTTGTAGAAATGCATCTTCTGTGCTCCCGAGATCCCAGGCCTCGGGAGCTACGTCAGCAAGGACGGTGTCCGCGCTGATCCCGAAAAAGTGGTGGCTATCTGTGCTTGCCATCAGCCCTCTGTGCTTGGCCATCCTTTCAGGATCCAAAACAGCTTCGGCAGTGGCTCGGCCTCGCGACGTACCTCCATCACTACTTGAAGAGCTTTGCAACAACAGTTCGCCCACTGTCACAGCTAATCAAGGCTGACGCCACGTGGATGTGGCGTTCAGAGAACCAGGTGGACTTTGTCGCGGTGAAGACAAGCTTACCCACCGCGCCCGTCCTGATGTTACCCGACCACTCCAAGCAATTCCACGTCGTGTGCAACGCCAGCGGCTTCGCAATCGGCTGCGCGTTGATGCAATTAGATGAAGAGGGACGCGAGCGAGTGGTGAGCTACCAGTCATGCCAATTAAATCCGTCAGAGCGCAATTAACCTGTGCACGACAAAGAGCTCCTGGCCATGCGCTACGCACTGGTCAAGCTCCGAATCTCCCTCTTGGGAGAGCAGACCTTCGTCGTCTACACCGACCACGCGTCGTTGCGAGCCGCAACGAAGGACCGGCATTTGTCCTAGCGCATGGAGCGCTGGCTCTCTCTCTTCTCCGAATACAGCTTCGTCGCTCACTACAAGCCAGGTAAGACCAACATCCTCGCCGACTCGCTCTCGCGTCGGCCATACTACGCGCAATTCGGTCGCTACGCGGTTGGTGATGAGGACGAGGACGAAGGCGCCGTTTGCACGGCTGAAAATATCGCTGCGACTTTCGTCGCAGCGACCAGTTCACTACGTGACTCGATCTCGACCGCGTATGCTTCGGACGCGACATGCTCCGAATTGATCACGTTCATGGTGCGGCGTACTCTCTCTCCACGCAACCGTGCTCGAGTGGGTCGATTCAGCTTACACGACAAGTTGCTGACTTATAGCGTCGACCAAGAGGACTCACCGCGCATCGTCGTCCCTCTGGACGATGATCTACGCGCCCAATTGATTGATGAATTTTATGATTCCCCCAGCGGAGGTCATCTCGGACGCGTAAAGGCCTTCGCGTCGCTTTCTCGCGATTACTATTGGCCGCACATGTACAAGTGGGTGCGGAAGTGGGTCCGCTCATGCGAGGCGTTCCAACGCGTGAGACCTTGACCGTCAAAGCAGGCCCCGCTTCGACCTCTCCCTGTAGCTATGGAGCCATGGTCCTCCGTTAGCATAGAAGTCGTCTTCGGTCTTCCCCGCGACACTCAAGCTCGCAGTGGTATCGCCGTCTTCGTTGATCGCTTCAGCAAGACGGTCCATCTTGCTCCCACTGCTGCCTCAGTCATCGCGCAACAGTACGCTTCGATATGTCTCGACCTCGTATATCGCCATCACGGCTTGCCGACGTCGATCGACTCCGATCGAGATTCCCATTTTACTTCAGCTTTTTGGTAGGAGATCTTCCTGCTTGTTGGGACGCGGTTGAAGATGTCCACCGCGTCACACCCGGAAACGGATGGCCAGACCGAGCGAGCGAACAGAGGTCGAAGACGTTTTGCGGATCTTCGCCACGTCATACACGTCCTGAAGTTCGTTTCTGCCTATGATCGAGCTCGCGATCAATAACGCGGTTTCGGGTCTCACTCTATTCTACGTAAACGACGGGCGTCATCCCCGCGTTCCCGCGCATGGACCGCCCCATTTCAGACGAGTCCAACGACACCGCCGTCACCACAGCTTCAATTTCCGCTGAAGACAGACGTGAGCCTGCTCACGACGCCGCCCCAGCGATCTTGACTGCTGTGACTACCCGGCGCGGAACTGCAGCTACTGTACCCGGGATATTGACACGGGGGGGGGTTCCATCATCTATCGCGGCTTGGACGTATAGGACGCTAATTAACCCGCGTCAGCGTCGCCGCGCGGTCGAATACCATGCCACGCCCGGCTCGGCTGCATCATCCGATCTACCGCCCGCGAGCTTCGAGCCAAGCCCGGAGCCACGGCCGCGTGACGTTGCGGCCGCCCATGACTTCGTCCAACGGCGGGAGTATGTGATTCGCTACGTACGTGATGCAATCGTCACGGCTGTGGACCGTCAGAAGGAGAACGCTGATCAGCGTGGCCGATAGAAATTTGAGAAGTTCGCTGTGGGAGATCGTGCATTGCTATCTACCTCCGGCATTGCACCCACTTCTGTGACAAACTTGGGCGCCAACAAGTTGGCGCCGCGATGTATTGGACCCTTCAAGGTCTTGAAGGCACGAGGCGACGCGTAAACACTTCAAAATTCCTACAGCACTACGCCTCCACCCTACCCTCTATGTCGGCAGACTTCGACGCCACCTCCCGTCGACTATCCCCAGCGACGCCCCGCGTCCGGTCTCCGATGACCATCCCGCGGCGAGTCCGGACGACGCGCGCGGTGGCGCAGCTCCTATTTCTCTCGCTCCAGATACTACACGCGCTGCATCAGCCGGTCGAGGCGCTGCGCGATCGCTGCGTCTTTCAAGCGCCCGTGATCCACCCTTCCAGCGTGACGGTTCCGCTCCTTTTGTCGATAGCGCGGGTCACGTTCTCACATCGGTGATCAAATCCCGGAGCACAAAGATCCTCGTGCTGTGGCCACATCTACGCAAACAGGGCGCCATCCATCCGCTCCATCGTTACCTCGTTCGCTGGCTCGGCCGCATGCCGGATAGCTGGGAGCCTCGCGTCACCCTTCTTACCGACGTTCCGGACTGCGTGGAGGCGTACGAGGCAGCCCTCGTACAGACGGCAGATCGTCACGGGGGTGAGACCGTCCGTCGCGCCTAGCCTCGTCGATGGCCCTCAGATAGCGCCCAATCACGCCTTGGTAATCGCTACAGCGTCAGCGATACGGCGGCATTCCGCTTCGTCGGGCCGCGAGACGCCGCGCTCGCGACAGCACTGACACCATCTTCCCAGTGTGCTGTACAACACTGGTGCCCTCGATCACCGGCCAGCCTGCAGACTTGACCGTCCGGCGCCCCAACGGACAGCAGGGTGTGTGCTTCTTCGCGCGCGACCACCATACGCTCAAACGCGTCACCGCCTTCCTTGTTCCAGCGGTGCACATACGATGTCCAGGCTCTGTCCAGGGACTGGAGAGTCACAGTGGCCGTCGCCGTGACGGGTTTACCTCGCGTCGCTCGGAGCCTTTCGAAGAGCGCCTTCATCTCGGGTCACTGAGCGCGTTCACGGAGGCGCTGCAGTCGTGCAGCGCCCACCTTTCCAGCGACTCCGCATAGGTGGTCGAGTCGTCTTCCTGCTCACTCATGCCGTACGAGTTACTGCGACGCCCAAAACGCAGAATGCTGCGTGCTTTGTGAGTGATGGTATGACGGGTCATCGTCACACATTGTCACCGCGGTGGTCAATCAGCTTATAGAGTACATTTACAGGCTGGCGTGATCTCACGACCACGCCGTAACTTTCAATATCATAGTTCAATTTGCTTGCTTCCTCATACAGTGAATGCTGCGTAGCGGATTGGCGTAGCCCCGTTACAGAAATACTATTATTACTGTTAGTATTGCAAAATTTTAAATTTTAGAAATATAATACGAAGTACTACTGTAGTACTACGTAATATTTAACGTTGCTGTTAGGACAGACAAGCAATAAATGGATGGCCCAAAGTGCAACCGAGAGAGACGACTACTGCTTCATGGACATTGAGAAAGGGTTTACTTTTGCAGCATGTTCAGCCACGGCAAGTGAGTCCAAGCGAAAGCAACGAGAATCGCTATTGGGTCAACTTGCTGAGAGTATAGGTGGCGTAGACGAGTGACCAGCTGGAGATAATACGACCATGTGTGTAATTTTACGAAGCTTGCGCTAGCTTATTATCACTGCTGCGGATGCCAGCCCTGGTACCTTTGTCTTCAATGATGAGCGGCTTCTCGCATTGGGCTTCTTAGCAACATTCACGCAACACATATCACAGAACGTACGCTAAATATTTTGTATCAGTCTGAGGACTATCGACTCAAGTAACAGTTGCGCAATTAAACGTAGTGCACCGCCAATGTAATAAAATTGGTGAGGCTGTCCAGCCAATTTTTTTTACGGGGGCTATATGAAATTAGCGAATCAAATTTTACCATGGTTCAAGTTCAGAACATGCATCTTCCAGATACTATTGAGCTGACTCCTTGAACCTATCTACAAGCATTGTTGCTCCAGGATCCGGTGGTGCACATACTCGAATATTTGGTTTCTTAATCGGCTACATGTACTTGGGAGTCCCAAGTTGGGACTGGGATCGCGATTCGTGGCAAAAAACTTGAACGACTTCACTACATTGTATTATAGATGAGGTCGTTCAGGTTTCAAATGGGTCAATAAGTACAAGTACTGTGGTCGCATCCAATACATGTACGAGTCGGGTAGAACACGGCAACGTTGGACACTGATATGTCAATACTGTCACTTTCTTTTCTTACTGAAAAGTTAAAACTTCGATGCTGCGTTGCAAAGCGAGATGCATCCACAACCTCGCTGACATACAGTGTAGCCTTGGGCTGTGATAGTATCACTGATACTGCTCACTATCCGATACTTTAATAAAGCTACATGTACATGCACAGTAGCGCTGCGTAAGCTGAAAGCGCAATCGAGACGTTTACTGTACCATAACCAGATCTCGATCACGTAGGTGGCCTTTCGAAATCACGCAGGATCTCGCAATCACGCAAAGGCGACCTGCATCTCCGGAACGTTTATCTTTCGCAGTCTGCCCGCATGCCAGCTGTATTATAGCGAGACAGCAAAAGCTGGCCGGGAGGATCAGCGCAACACAGGGGTTAAGCCAGTAAGTTTTCTTACATGTAGAAAATAATGTCGCGGAAGCTCGACGCCAAGCAGAGCAGCGGGTTGTGTCCATGCAACAAGCATCCCCGGGATGCCCGCTCGATGATCCCGAGGGTGTAGCTTCAGACGCAGGTAGAAACGTATGATGGTTCGTCGCAGCAGCAAGTTATTAATAGGCTCGTCACTACGGTACAGTACATGTCCAAGATTGAGCTTCTACACGTCACATCCTATCGACAGTTCGCTGTGTGCATCTGCTCTCGAATTTGGCGATCCATTCTGAAAGCGGGGTTGGCGGACATCGTATGCATTGCGTACTATGCATCCCAGCCGCTGTGCCGTCGATCGCACTGTTGAGTGATGCAAAATACGGTATGATCCGCCGCGTTTCTCTTAGTGCAAAAGGTTTTCCCCTCCCGTCATTGCCCCTCCCCTCCGGTGTTCATTCTGTTGGTCCAGCTTGCAAGACTTGCTTTAAGTAGGCACTAGGCTATGTTAGTCCCGGCGTTGCATCTGTTCCAGGAGAGATGACCTGTCGAAACCACTCACACCGACACAAAAGGTGCTTCCACCACCACACACCTCAGTGACTGCTAGAAACGATAATGCATTTGATCAGGTTCTGTTTAACCTGCTATTTACGTTTCAGAGTGTTAATGTAGGCTGCACTTGCAATATTGCTTCATTACTGTAAATAGCGATGCGACTATTTATTTAATACTACGTAGTTTTAAAGTGATTTGTTTTCTTCCAATCAGAGAGCTTAAATTGCATCCCGGTTGTCTAGCCTCCCTTGGCCCCAGCTTTTCTACCATTTTCGAACTGGTGACCACCAGCACAACCCTCTCCTCGCGACCCCCCAACCGATGGCTCTTACTCGCGCCTCCGTCGCCGCTGGGCGCATGCAGGCCGCCTCGCGGTGTCCGTTCATGCATGCGCTTCCCACGGCCCGCGCCGCTCTGCTGCCTAACATCTCGCAGCTGGCCAAAATGTGCCCGCACATGTCTTCGGTCATGGGCGCGGCGGCTGCTGGCGGCTCCAAGGGCTCGCAGGCCCACGCGACGTCCACCACGTCGGATGCCACTCTTAAGCGCATCTCTGAACTCAAGAAGAAGGCACTGCAGCAGAAGGCCACGCAGCTTGGTGGCCCCAAGCCGTACTCGTCGGCTATCGCACGATTCCCCACAGCCCCTACCCGTCAGACACGTGTCGGCGGCATGTCAGCCTCGCAGTACGAGAATGGCTTCGCACAGACTATCGACACTATCAAACGTGAGGGACGGTACCGTCTATTCGCCGACCTGGAGCGCAAGCGCGGCAAGTTCCCACGGGCCACACACCACGAAGACTCCGGTAACACCAAGGAGGTTGTGGCCTGGTGCTCAAATGACTATTTGAGTATGGGCCAGCATCCTAAGGTGATCTCAGCCATGGAAGAGTATCTAATGAAGTCCGGGGCTGGCTCGGGCGGTACTCGTAACATCTCGGGTACCAACCACAACCACGTTCTACTGGAAAAAGACCTGGCCGACCTGCACCAACAGGAGTCTGCACTTCTCTTTACCTCCTGCTACGTGGCCAACGACAGTGTGATCAGTACACTCACCAAAATCTTCCCAGACATTGTCATGTTTTCCGACAGTCTGAACCACGCCTCCATGATCCAGGGCATCCGTCACAGTGGCGCGAAGAAGTTCATCTACAAGCACAACGATATGAAGGATCTAGAGGAGAAGCTCAAACTCGCCGACCCTAACGCCCCCAAACTTATTCTCTTTGAGAGTGTCAACTCTATGGAGGGAACTGTGGCGCCTCTCCACGAGATCTGCGACCTGGCTGACAAGTACGGGGCCATGACCTTTAACGACGAGGTGCACGCCGTGGGCCTGTACGGCCACCGCGGCGCTGGCGTCGCTGAGCGCGACCACTGCCTCGACCGCATAACCATGGTTACGGGTACCCTCGCGAAGGGTTACGGTATCATGGGAGGTTACGTTGCGGGCAATGCCGCATTGGTGGACGCCATGCGCTCCTGCGCCTCGGGCTTCATCTTTAGCTCGTCGATGCCTCCCATGCTCGCTGCCGGGGCTCGTGCCTCGGTTAACCACTTGAAGGAGAGTCAGGTGGAGCGCGCGACGATGCACGCTCGCTCCCAGGAGCTCAAGAACAAGCTGGTGGACGCAGGTTTCCCTCTCTTACCGAGTGTGAGCCACATCATCCCGGTAATGGTTGGAGACGCTGTGAAGGTGAAGGAGGCCTCGCGTATCCTCATGGAGAAGCACCGTATCTATGTGCAGCCTATTAACTTCCCCACGGTGCCTCGTGGCGAGGAGCGTCTCCGTCTGACGCCCCTACCGACCCACTCGGATGCTATGGTGGAGGACCTCATGACTGCTCTGGAGGATGTATGGACTACCCTCGACCTACCACGTCACTTTGTGCCGAAGGGCGAGTACCTGCCCAAGGTGGAGTGGGCCAACTCGCCTCTGGAGATCGCGGGGGAGTTCGTGGTCGAGTCGGCCCAGGAGGCTGCCTGCGCTGCCTAAGTGCACCGTGCGGTAAGCCTCACACTCCCAATGGTGTAAGAAGCCGATGGCCGCTGCCGCGTATCAAAACTCACACAAAAGTCTATGCGTAACCACACTAGGATGACAAAAGGAAGAGCTTAAGTCTCGGTTTTAATGTATCCGCCCCTGCATCTCTAATATAGAGAGCGGTAATGGGAAGTTCCATCCTGTAACTTTGTCTTTTTAAAACTGCATCGATCTTATCAGTCGTCAGCTCGATTGAGACTTTTATATAGCCAAGATCAAGAGTGGCGACACAAATGAGTCTTAATTCCATCGAGAGACGTCTCTTTCTTCAAAAACACACTCAATGTATGTCAAAGCTCGGTGTGTGTGAAATATATCTTGGAAGCCACTGTCAATGATCGCAGTCGCGGTGGCTCTGACGTGTACCATTACGGACTCTAGCTCTGTAGTGCTGTAATTTGTGGTGTTATTGTGCATCAATAGGTAAGATACTTCGAAGTTTTTTTTTAAGACAGGAGCGATCATGTCTTCCTCACAAACTCTTGTCGGTAGGAGCTGAGTAGTTTTGGATTGCCAGGCTAGCTTCCACTTTGCCTGGATCAAGGAGCATGAACGTACAGATTGATACAATTCTCTAGATTTTGTTATTATTTGTTGCTTTTCTGTACCCCGAAACTATGAACGCCCATCGAACGTGGAAATACGTGACGCTGGACGCCACGGGGACGTTGTTGCGGCCAGCGGAGCCTCCCGGCGTGACCTATTTGCGTTTCTGGGAGGCGACCTCGGGTCAATCGTTCTCCTCGTCACGCCGCGCCGCGTTGGGTGCCGCGCTCACGTCGAATTTCCCGTCCGAATTCAGTCTCCAGTCACGTCGCCGACCTAATTTCGGGTCGGACGGCACAACTGCGTCTGCTTTCCCGTGGTGGCGCGAACTCATACTCAACGTGATGACGCGCTCTGACGTTGCCGTCAACGCCGAGCTCAGCGAACGTTTTACGCGGGATCTGTACGCGCATTTCGCCCGTCCTGAAGCTTGGACGGTATACGACGACGTGCGGCCGACACTCGAGAAGCTACGGACGTTGAACGTGCCTATGGGCGTCATATCGAACTTCGACGAGAGACTGGAGCCGCTGCTGGCCGACCTGGAGCTTAGAAGCTTCTTCGACGTGGTCACGACGTCCTTCAGCCAGCCACACATGAAGCCACACACATCCATTTTCCTCTCAACATTTAAACAGATGCAAAGAGAGGAAGGAGACGTAGAACCCAGCAGGTTTTTGCATGTAGGAGACCACTTGTCTAAAGACTACAAGGCGGCGAAAGACGTGGGTGCGCACGCTCGCTTAGTATGGAGAAACAAGCAGACAGCGCCACCTCCAAACGTGCAGGTGATTAAGACTTTGCTCGAGATTTGACTGTAAATTTTAAAGTGAAAGCTAACATTAAAAGTGAAATTGAAGGAATTTCAAGCCGAATTCCGATCTTAAGCAATATTTTAAAATTCAAGGAATTTTTCAAGGATTTTAAATATTGCTTTAAGATCGGAAGACGTTTTTTAAAGTGAGAAAGTCGTTTGAAACCACCGACGCCTTGACGTGTCGAGTTGCCATCTCGGAATACACGTCGGAAGACTCAAAGGAGACTTTGGAGACGATGGAGACGTCGGAGCTCCATGCTGCGAATGAAGACGTCGTTCAGGTGGTGACAGAGCTGCGACGAGATTTTGACGGAATGTGTGTGTCAATTGCGAGTGAACTTGCGGTCTGTGATGACCCAACGCGGTGGCTCGATCTGTTGACAGCTGTCGTAGTCGAAGACCGTGCGCCGGAGCTGACAGAACGACTGGAAATGGATTTCTTGCCTCAGATTGTGCAGATTCTACTGGGAAAATCGCTCGAGTCGGGGGTGGAGAGAGTCCACAAGTTTCTGCAATGGACTCTCGAAAATGTCAAAAAGGGTCTGAAGCAGGGAGATGTTTCTCGACTGTCGTGTCTCGCTCGGATTCTGGATGGACACCGCAGATTTTACTTGTACCACGGCACTAGCAACGATACGAGTGAGACAGAAACCCGGGAAATCTCTGACCAAACACGGAGATTTATTGTCCGACGGAGTTCGGAATACACGTCTCGGTATTTCCTGCACAACCTCGAATATTGGGGGCAATTGGACGGATTCTCCGTACTCCTCGATGTTCTACAAACAGATACATCGTTTGAAGTGCTGCAGTGTGTTCTACGCACTCTGTACGACGTAAAAGATCACTTGAACTCGGAGTTTTTGGGCGTATATTTTCCGAAATTGACGAATTCCGTATGCACTTTCATGCAACATTTACCGTCTGCCGATTTCTACGCGCTATCTCGTGATTCGTTATTAGAGGTCGTGCAGGTCATGGAGCTGCTACTAGTCAAGATCGAACATGGCGCGAAGCAACCGACAGCAATGACAGAACACGTATCTTTACGTGAAATCTGCGAACAGCGAGTACAGATTCTTCGCCTTGAAATATCTATGCGATTTTTCCAGAGCACGTCCTTGGAGAAACGCATCTACGGATTAACCGAGATCGTGGTGATCATCACGCGGCTATACAACGATCAGATACAGGAACAGACCGACCCCACGGCCGCCTCGCTGTTGGCTACCTTGGATTATCTGGTCAACTGGATGCACGACAAGCGGCTCATGCAGGAATTACTGGGCGAGAAGATGCACGTCGAGCTGATTAAAAGATCCACGTCGCTTTTCCAGTTTGTATCGGAGCTGGAAGTCCTGCCGACTGAGTGGATTGACTTGGTATGGAGCTGCTACCACGCAGAAGCTGACGACGCGCAGGAATCTCGTCCGGTGCAGAGACGCCACGAAGCTTTTCGCTCGACAATTCACGATTTGCTACTGGAAATGGCAACGTTCATGGAAAATCCGTCGCTTCTCCACTTGGTTCGCCGGATTGAATCTGTGAAAGCCAAGTTAGACTCGAACCAACTGGGACTCCTAGCCGCGATCGCTGCTCGCAGATTTCTCGCATTTGAAGATGCTAGAACGTCGCTACGACAGCGGATTTTAATGCACTTGTGGTCGACGGTGCTTCCCTATGTGAGATCGGAGGATTTTCAAGACGAGATTTTGCTTCGTATGCATGAGATACTCCGGCTAGAAGCGACAAGTGAGGACGAGACTGAAGTCAAGTGCAAGTGTGCGATGCTAGACGAGTTCCTTGGATTGTGTATGGATAATATCCGTCGACGCGAAAATCTAGGGATTTCTCTGAAGCTGTTCACTCAATTATCTGCTCTGGCTGTCGAAGTAGGCATTATCGTGGCGGAAAGTAGTGACGCGTACGTTGGCGTCTTGTTGAGCGAGACTGTGGACTACAAGGAAAGAATTCGACAGAATCTAAACATGGTGGATTTTCTGCACCTAATGGATGATGCACGAGAGAAACTTTCGATTTTGACAAATCACGTAGGTGAGGTCAAAAATCGACTTTTGGCGCTCCGAGCGGCGTGGATTTTAGACGCAGCTGACGACAACGAATCCTCGTTCACTGAAGAACAGCTGAATAAAGTGTGGGAGCTCATGATCGCTGACGCGTTTCTATCGGACGAAGCCGCTCTTTGCTTCCAGTGGATCGAACTTTGTCTGAACACGCCAGTTGAGAAAAATCCGATCATAAAGAACGCGGATTCCCGCGCTCTGATGCCTCTCAGTATCGCGGAATATCTGCTCACAACCAAGTTTGCCACATTATCTAACGACCACATCACATTATCCACTTTATGCTGTTTCCACAGTATTTTCCGTCGAATTAACAATCTGAAAGGAGGGTTGCAGATTTTCACCGCTTCAGGTGAAATGTCGTCTCCTACGACTAGTGACAAAGAGGAATCCGTGGAGCTGATGACGGGGCAACCGCTTGTTGGCCTGGACGAGCTATGGCAACTCGCTGTTCGAGCGACAGACGCTGCAGTCGCAGAGGAGATTATCGCGTTACTGGCGAGTTTCCACTTGGCTTTTACACCCGAAATCCGACAAACGGAGCTGCCATTCCAGTGTAAAATGCGGTTTATCGAGAAGTGCATGGGGTTTATCGCGACAGCTAAGAAAGGAGCCGAGCTGGTGTCAGATGCAGACAATGATAAAAAATCCAAGGACGTGGCGATTGTCAATCGCTGTGTGGATCTATTGCGCTATTTCTTAGAAGCGTGTAAGGTTGAAGACGACGCTGCTTCGAAAGATGAAGAAGATTTGCTTCGGAAACTGGAAAGTGAAGCTGCGAGGGAAGAGAACCAGAAAGCGCCGAAGATTTTCCCGCTGGAACATCTGGAGGAGCGGCTGCCATATCTGGAAATGTATCCGTCTCCCATGAAAGATTCCCAATCTGAAGCAGCTAAAATCGGGTATCCAACAGGCCGCAGACCCAGTTGGACGTTCCGTCAGCAGCATGCGTTGTTGGATGTTATCGTTGACGCAAACGAAGAAGCAGAAGTGGAAGAATCTGCGTCGACGGAAGCAGATAATCTGCCACCGAAGATAGATATTTTACTGAAGACAGAGAGTCCAGCCAAACCGAGTCTGCGCTCTTCGTGTGCACGAGCAGATTTGAGCTATCCACAAGCTTCTTCTCCGCAGCGCGGACCAAACTTGCGACCTGAAGACGTTGATCTAGCGATAACGGATTTTACCAACAAAACTCCATCGGATTCGACGACAAAATCCACGACGATCAAGACGACATACGGCGCTGTGAGCCAGATTCTAGCGAACCAAGGCTCGTACTTTAACGTTTTACTGCAACTTGTCGACTGGAACGAGACGACGTCGCAGAGGACGTGGGATTTACTGTGTCGCTTACCCACAAACAACGAATTACTCCGCAGAATGATCCACTTGCGTCGTGCAGAGAACGAGGAAGCGGATTGGTCGGATTTGTTGGATAGTTCAAATATCCATCGACTGCTGTACGCTCTCCGATTAGTGGAAGCGTTGTTGATACCAATTGAAGCCACGAACAAAGACGAACTCAATTCAGGACGACGACAGTGGAGAGAGCGCTTTGTCCGGTTGGGAGGAACGAAACATCTGTACGAGACGTTGTTGCAATGGCCGGAAGAACAGATTTTTGATCGAGACTCGGTTTCGTCTCAGTACGCTCAGAATATCCGCGCCACTTGCCTCGCCGCTGTCATGCGTGTGCTCAACTACTTTTTCTACTGGAATCGACAAACTATCGAGCGAGGTCACGCGTCTCCGTTTGATGTACGACTGCAGTTCTCGACTTTCCCAGAGTTCGTAAAATCCATTGAACTCTCGTCAATGCTGCGAGTTGTAGTACAGCTAACGGCGAGATTTTCTTCGCAAAAATCCGAGAGTAAGGCCCCGTTTTCTGACGAAGCAGCCGAGGCGGTGTGCTGTGGAGTGCAGCTGTGCTGCTCAATTATTCGCTTCGAACCGCATCTAACGAGCCAGGTATTTAATCCGAACATCGAGGACGGAAAATCCAGTGAAATGTCTGCATGGCTAAAGTCGCTGCTGGTGGATTGTCCCTCTAAATCGACGAGAGGACAGGCACTCCTTACACTATCCGAGATGGCTACGGCATTCGGCTTCATGGATTCTTCCTCCACTCGAAGTATCTTCGAGCTGCTTGTGGGCTCGGCGTGTTATCTGGTCTCGGATGAATGTTTTAGTGAGAAAATCTACAACTTCTCCGTCCTGGAGGAGTTATTTACGTTCTGTAGAGTACTTCTCGGATACTGTAGGCGCGTTCAAGAGCAAAAATCCGAGGATTGCTGCGATGCTGTAGCTGAGACATTGGTACGAAAACAGATTCCTGCTCGTCTTGTGGAGAATCTATGGAATATCGTGAACGAACGACAAGCTGCGACGGCGAGAAGTATCCGAAGCCAAGACGAGGGGATTCTGGGTGGATTTTTACAACTCTTAGCGTTGCTCGCTAGTATCTCAGTCAAGACACGGGCAGCAATTCTCGCATGCCGTATGAAGAGTTCGAGTGGAGGCGGTGAACATTTTATCCAGTTCATTCTTAAAAATCTGCTTTTTGGAGACAAAAAATCCGGAATCGACCGTCCTCTTTGCAGAGCCAGTTCAACGCGTGAAGTCGCTCAAAGATTGCTGCTAAACGTGGCATTCCCTGGCACAGAAGAGCATTGTGAGACTCATGACGATACGTTGATCTTGTTGGATTCTCTGCGAGAGTCTCAAGCGCGGGTGCTGGAGACGATAAATCTCGCCGGTCGACAGTGGAATTACGCCCCCGCAGACTCGTTTCTGGACGTGAACACACCGCACGTTGGGCTGGTGAATCCTGGTTGTATTTGCTACATGAACTCGCTGGTTCAGCAGCTTTTCATGATGCCGAAATTCAGCGAAGGACTCCTCGCTTTGGATTTTCCACAGATAATATCCGATCAAAAATCTCCGTGGCAAGAGGAAGTTGAACAGCTTCAGAGATTATTTGTCTCCCTTGCATACACAAATCGTCGCTCGTGTGACCCCGTCGCCTTCGCTCGCTCGCACAAAGACATGGACGGGAACGCGACGGATGTCCACATTCAGATGGATGCTGACGAGTTTTTCAGTCTGCTTTTGGACCGTCTGGAGATGTTTATCCGTCCAAAATCCATGGATTCTTCCGAAGCCAAGACAGAAGATTTCATGGCGCACTGCTTCGGAGGCGTGTTAGTCAACCAGATTTTAACTCAGCAAGGGAATCTGTCGGAGCGCGAGGAAAAGTTCTTCGCGTTGAGCGTGGAAGTGTCCAAAAAACGTCATTTGTCCGAGTCTCTGGAACTTTATGTGCAGGGCGAGACGCTGGAGGGAGAGAACGCCTACTTCTGCGAGCGCGAGCAGCGGAAAGTGTCGGCCACCAAGCGAGTTTGCATCAAGAAGCTCCCTCAAACTCTGGTGTGCCACCTGAAACGCTTCGAGTTTGACTACGATACGATGGAGAAGATGAAGATCAACGACTATCTCGAGTTTCCCATGGAGATCGACATGTTCCCGTACACCAGCGACGCCGGAGCAGATAGTGGTGATGGAAAATCCATCATGTACGATCTGGTAGGCGTGGTGGTGCACTCGGGGACGTCCGATACTGGTCACTACTACTCGTTTATCAAGGACAGAGAGGCGACGGAAAATCCGCGATGGCTCGAATTTAATGACGAGATTATCCGTGAGTTCGACGTCGAGACAATGGGCGAAGAATGCTTTGGAGGCGAAGAAGTGGCTCAGAAATGGAACGCTATCCAAGGAACGTACTCGCCTCTTGTGCATATGAAGAGGAGAAGCGCGTACATGTTAATCTACGAGAGACGATCCGAAGAGATTTTATCTGTGGATTCTGAAAAATCCACAGTGTCGAGTCAAGTGCAGATTCTTGCAGATCAGATTATGCAGGTAAACGCACGATACGAAGGCGTAGTGAACGCGTTCGCCCCCAACTATGAACAGTTTATAAGCGACTTGGTGGACAGTGCGACTCGTTCGGAATGTAGTCCGGAAGTAGCGAGAAAAGCCTGTCAAATCGGATACCAGTTTGTGTTCGGCATCGGCTCACTACGTTGTCGCACGACGGATTCTTCGTCGGCGTCGAGCTCAAGCGTGTTTAGTCGCAAGATCAGCGCGCGTGTCGTGTTATACTTGGCTGGGTATGGGAAGAGTCCAAGCAGCGACGACGACGACGAGCGTGTGAACTTGAGCAAGTGGATTTTGACGGAAACTGTAGCCCCTCCCAACAATTCGCTGTCCAACTCGGCAGCTCTGGAACGTCAACGTACGTGGCTATTTGACACATTATTTCTCACATTTGAGGGCCAAGAACTGGCAGATTGTTGCTTCCAGATCCTCTTGGCTGCTGTGAGAGTTCTTACGTGCGAAATGACAAAAGCTCCGGAAGCCGACGAATCTCTTGTGGATTTTCTTCAAGAATCCATGAATCTACTCTACTCCCGAGAACCGCATCTCGACGTGAGCGACCCAGTCTCTGGTTGCGTCTTGACACTGTCGATGGATGCGAGAATGACGGCAACGAAGCAACTGGGCGCGTTTTTCGACAAATGTATCGGCGAATCCAGTGAAAATCCAACACTGATTTGTCGATTGTTCCTAGAAAAACTCCAGTTTTTCAACCACTTTCTGCTGTCCCTACAGACGCCTGTTACACCTTCCGATGTCATCGCTAGCTCCTCTGTATCGTCCCGAGGAATCGCGCCTTTGGCGATCGAAACGAGGTCTGCGACTCCTGTCCGCGAGCACGATCTTCGCGTTGCCATATTTTATCTGGAGATGAAGCTGCTTCGCAAAATGCTAGAAGCGTATGAATCTGAGTCTTTATCGATGGATACTACACCACTTTTCAACCACGCAGCGCTGAAGAACACGGTTTTATTCGGGTTAGAAGACATTATCCAACCTCTATTGACCCGCGTTATGTTCGAAAGTGAAAATCCAAAGTGTGACCGACTGGTGTCTCTACTCGTTGGCGTCTTGGAAGAAGTGAAAGATACCCACGCGGATAAAGTGCTGGCTGTATTTGCGCGACTACTAGACGAGGAGGAAGAGAGATCGAAATCCTTCGAAGAAGATAAGTGGACTCTTCATCGACATGTCTTCTCTCCGACGAGGGGAATTTTAGAGAGTGTCACGTATTATCGAGATCACGGTTCGCGTGAGTACACGCATTTACTATTGGAGTTTGTGGTTCGCCGTGCCAGCACGTCCTCGACGCTTCGAGAGTTGTTCAAGCGCGACGCGAAGATCAGCAACAGTGTGAGCTGGATCCCTCAATGGCTAGTCGATCGTCTGGATTCGGACGGTAACATCCGAGAAAAAATCCGTGAAAACGAAGATACCCAGAAACTTTTCGCGGATATTGAGATAGCTTTTGGAGTGACAATTCCAGTATATTGCCAAGATACTCACGAAGCGGAGGCACTCCCTCCTATTGCAGCCGAAGACGTCCTCTTGGAGGCACTGGAGCTCAAGGAAAACCAGTGCGATAAACACAGGGATCGTGGCTCGATAAGACGGGCCACTATTGGGGGTATTCGACAGCTAAAAACGGGTAAAAGCGACGAGATCAGACCGGAACACGACGACTCGGAGGCGGATTCGTGGCAACTGCAACGGCCACGTGAAGATCTGTCGACGCTGCTCCGGATCAATCTGGATACGACGCAGCACAACGCTCGAGAGGCCTAGAAACATAAGACAACAAAGCTGTATTCTTAACACGGTTCTTGCCTGAGCTTATCCTGTTTTATCCTGTATATTCGTCGCTTTGACTACTTCGCGAACTTCTGGCTCCTCCGCTTTGTGGCCGTTTGTTTGGATTATCGCGACTAGCTGAACTGGTACGGATTTTACATCTGGTGCTGACGTTAGCCGACGCACAGCGCTTGAGCTTTGCAGCTCTAGAATCCAGCTTCGAGCTGGATATTAAGCTGCTTCTGGATGTTGCCGAGCGACGTAGCGATGGATGTCGGGACTGTGCGGGGAAACATCTGGCCGTCTCGCTATTATCTGCACAGGCAGAAAAATACAAAAGACGACTACGCGGTGACTTGGCAGCGAGTTCATCTCCCTCCCGGTTATTATCCACGTCTTCACCTCCCAGACTTGATACCGAGAGGCAGGTAGACACAGGAGATCGTGGAGTTTCGTCTAAAATCGATGAAAACCCGTCCACAATCCAGGGTCCAACAGGGGAGAGCGCGTTGGATTCCACGTCTCGGTCACTGTCAACATCCACCAAGTAGAGAAATCCGTCGCCACTGTCGTCACATTCACGTCCTTTCTGCGAGCTTGTAGACGTGGGTTTTGGCCGATCACGTGGATTCTGGGCCGGTTTCTCCCTGACACGGAAAGTTGAGCTGGAGTTGGGTCTAGATCTAGAACGTAAGGTGCTAAAATCCAGCGAGGAAATCTGGTTACCGGTGGCTCTACTATTAATACCCCCAGATTTGACTGTAGCATCGTAGATAACAGCCGGAACAGCTATCTGAAGTGCGTTTTCCGCCATTAATCGATGCAGTTGAGAGCTCGAAAGAGGACGCTGCAAAGCTCGACCGTGAGTTGATTCACTAATTGTCGCAGGTGTTTTCGACGAGACGACGGCTTCCATCTTCTCTATCGGATTTTTCAAGTGTTTGCGTCGACGATTCTGTTGACATGTAGATTTTTCAACGATTTCTAAATTTTGTTTCAGAAAAACTTGGTCGCGTAGCTCGCGAATTATCTGTTCCAGCTCTTCATCCGTGCGATGTAGAGGCGACGTATCCAGCTCCATTATTGCCGTTTGAGTGATAGTCCGATACGGATTGTCCAGCTCATCATTGCGCTGGTTTACGGTGCTCTTGTGGCGGTCTTCTCCCGTAATTGGACCGTACACGCTCTTTCCAGCGCACACGATTAATGGCGTCGACTCTGGCTCCGATTCCAGAGAAGGAGGCGAGATTTCTTCCACTGCAAAGCACAAGGACTTGAGTCTTTGTTTGGAGTGCGCATTGCTCCCGAGAATGCGTCGTCCTTGTCGTTTCTTCACACGAACTCGGGGGTGGGGATTCGATGGCGGATTTCCAAACGCAGAAGCTGTCAACGGCGCTAAGGGCTCTTGGTAGTAATAGTAGCTGGCATTTTCGTCGCGTGAAGCTAAAGTGTACGCTGAAGCTCCAACGCCGTTGCCAGAACTTCGCCACCGCATGAGCTTGATAAAATGTTGGTAGAAAAAAAAACTTACTTGAAAAAAACTATTTATAAAAACTACCTAATAAAAAAAAGAACAATATGATAACTTAAATCAGTAGAAGTAGGAGTCCACATTACGCTCATAATCTTGCAGCATCTCCAAGATATCGTCAGCCACAGGGGGTTGACGTGGCGGTCGATAAGCGAATGGGTCTCCTCCAAGTGGTAGAAATGGTGGAGGCATGAGGACGTGCAGTGGATGCGCTGGAACTCTTCCACTCCACCAGTGTCTCTGAGGGTGGAACAGATGCTCATAATGCAGACGCTGGTACTCCTGTCTGTGTCGTTCCCATGTCTCCAGCAGCTTCTGCTGAGTCCAATTGGACATGTACACAGCTTTCGGGGACTCAGATCGCAACGGCGGGAAGTCTACACGAAGGCACTTCATTGATGAGGACAGAAGTTTAGCTAAAGGTGGCAGAAGGCACAGTTCGTACCACGTCCAAGGAGCTGCTGCCACATTTCCAAAGAGTCTTGAAGTTGATGCAGATACTACAGTCACACAATCACAATACAGTTAAGTGGTACGTTGAAGTGCTGTACTTCAAACTTGTCGTACCTTGCTCGTCTGAGTGACGCGACAGACTTCAGGAGCACTCAGAAACACGCCAATTCGTACGAGAAGTGCCTCTGGAAGGCGACTGAGTTCTGCATCGGAAGCGACTGCGTTGGTGTCACCCGAGAACTCTGGGAACAAGTTGCGCTCCAGTCTGTTGGCAAAAAATAAAAAAACTTTAATTTTTTTATCAGATTTTTCAATAAATTGTGACGCACCTCCAGCGAAGTATTTCCAAATTACATTGCCACGTATCCATGATCAACACACATGCACGTCCTTGGTCGCTATCGTCTCGATGTCGTGGTTTCACAAACTCGGAAATTCTACATAAAAAATGTGAATAATAACCACATTTTTTTTTATCTGAGACCGTCAGATGGGCCTACTTGAGACGGAGTTGGACACTCTTGGAGCTCGATACGAAGTGCACGAACAATTTGCTGCCCACTAGCAGCCCACGCACGTGGACGTCTGCGTCTTCTTCGGCTGCTTCGGACAGTTGGTAGCGCAGTGTTGGGAGGAGATTCACATCCCCCACGAAGCTTTCGAGGAGACGGTTCGTATCCGTCTCGACGTCACGCGCAGCCCACCCGTGCTCCTTCAGTAGTGTGTGCGTCATCCAGAGCAGTGCTCCAGCCGCAGAGAAGGCACTCATGTTGTAATACAGGACGTGTTGATTATTCGAGACGGGAATATATTAGCCAATTACAAGCGTCAAATTCTTGATTCAAAGAGAATTGTTTTTTCTTAAAAGTGCTACTATAAAAAAGAGGAGGGAGCTCAAGGTACCAATATTTAGAAAAAGGGTAATATGGTGTACCCAAATTCTTTTTGCGTGTTTTTCATTGTTAGAATTTGTTTCCCGTAATGGAACTCTTTTTGCACGTCCTATCGGCATGGCGGTGTTGATTACTATTAATAGAAGTTCTCTATTGGCGAGGCTCCCCCGCAGCCATCACTAAATCCTACTGGTACGCCAAAGGCTTTGGCGGCCAAAGCAGGTTTTCGACCTTTGTTCTAGCTGCATTGATTCACTTGTAAACTGCACTGGTATGTAAGCGTCTGCACCTGAAGCAAGAAACACAGAGCACTCGAAGTTGGTGGGAAAGGCAGCTTGTGCTGCTGTTTGTATTTTGTGAAGTGAGCTCTAGCATTTTCTCTCTCTTTCTTCGTCTAGCTCAATTTCCATCATTATGGTTTTCTCACTACTTTCCTCACCTTTTCCAACTGTCTCAGTGACACACCCTCTTCAACAAAACCTTGTTTAGTCGGTTCGGCACCAACCGTGAGGACCAGTACATCACAACAGCCCCACCTACTGGTTGTCATCGCTGTGCCGACCACCCGTGGACTCGAAGGTCTCCTTCGAAATCAAACCCATAGCGCTGCGGTGCTGTTCAAGGTTCGCCCTTGGTAGTGGCTTTGTAAAAGCATCAGCCACATTTTCAACGCCGGGTACTCGCTTCACATCGATTTGCTTCAACTCTATACGCTCACGCACAAAGTGATGACGAACATCAATGTGCTTCGTTCGACTGTGAAACTCAGGGTTTTTTGCGAGCTTCTTCGCGCTTTCATTGTCCACGAACACATCAGAGGGTTTCACTTGCTTCACTTTCAACTCTCTCAACATCTGGCGCAGATGCACAACTTCCTGCACTAGCAGACTTAGTGCCATATATTCAGCCTCCGTCGTGTGCAATGCCACAGTCCTCTCCGTCTGACTACACCACGAAATCGTACTACCACAAAACTGCGTCAAATATCCTGCAACTGACTTGCGATCATCAACACGATTCGCAAAGTCAGCATCGGCAAAGGCCTGAAGGTGGTGCGTCAACTTTTGCCTTTCCTGCACGCCACCAAGACACAATCCCCACTCAGCTGTCTCTTTCAGGTACCGCAGTCCACGTTTCGCTGCACGCCAGTGTAAAATACCTGGGTTCTCCAAGAACTGACTGCACTCACGAACCATAAATGCAAAATCTGGCCGGGTGCCCAGCATTAGATACATCAAACTTCCAATGACCGCTCGATATGGCTTAGTCTTCATCAGCTCTCGTTCGTCATTAGTTGTAGGACACATTGACTTTGACAACTTTAAACTCACATCACTGGGAACTCTGCATCCATTACACTTGGCCATGTCAAAACGCTGCAATACTTTCTCGGCATACTTCTTTTGATTGATGAACATCGTTCTTTCTTGCCTGTTGCGTGTAATCTCCCAGCCAAGAATGTAATGAATCGGCCCCAAGTCTTTCATCACGAAGCGTCTGAAAAGCATCTGCTTCATGACGTTCATCATGGCCTTTGTCGGCGCAAACAGTATCAGGTCGTCAACGTAGATAGAGATGAACACCAGCCACCCGTCGACAGCCTTCACTGCCACGCATGCCTCACACTGCATTAGTGTGTAGCCCTCGCTCTCTAGGAAATCCTTCAGCAATCTGAACCATACGCGAGGAGCCTGCTTCAAGCCGTAGAGGCTTTTCAACAGAACACACACAAAATCCTCTTTTCCTTTCACTTCATAGCCTTCGGGCTGCTCCATGTAAACCGTCACGTCGATGCCTCCGTTGAGGAAGGCAGTGGTGACGTCCATCTGGTCTACCTCGTAGTCCCAAATGGATGCTAGCGTGAGCAAGATGCGCAAAGTTTCCAATCGCACCACAGGCGAGTAAACTTCAAAGAAATCAATACCATAAATCTGCATGAAGCCCTTGATGACGAGCCTTGCCTTGAACCTGTCAATGTCTCCGTTTGCATGATACTTCACTCGAAACACCCAACGGTTGTTCAGGACCTTCATGTCCTTGGTTCTTCGCACCAGCTTCCAGGTGCCGTTCTTCAGCAAGGCCTCGTACTCGGCATCCATTGCATCTTTCCACTGCTTGGCTTCATCACTTTGCATGGCTTCCTTATAGCTAGTCGGCTCAAACATAGCACTAGCAGTAAGACAAACAAAGTCTTGCCACACATCCATTGCCCTCTCTTTCGCAATCTCTAACTGCATTTGGGCCCGAGCCTTCTTCCACTCTATTCCTGTGGCCACTGTCAGTCCACGAGTGTCATCAGCATTGGTTGACTCTTTATAGGCCAGATGCACACTGTCACTAAGCCATCGCGGAGGTTTGGATACTCGTCCACTCCGTGTTACTGGATAGGACTTGCTTTCTCCATCTTCCAGTGGCTCTTGCTCCAGTGAACTTTGCTGTGTATGCGCTGCTATGCGCTCCACATCATCATCCACGTGAGACTTTGGCACTTTGGCCGTGGCATCCTCCTCTTGTCCCTCAGGACCACGCTCCACTAGAGCTGCAGCCGGTGCCGGGCACCGCTTACTGCGATGAAACCTTACACGCTTTTGCGGTTTATCTGTCATCATCTCATGGATGCGACCACGCTTTCTGCTGCTCAAAGCAACATCACTCTTATTTTCATCACACAACTCAGCCCCACCAGTCTGAGACTTTTCTGTCTTTTCGTCGGTGGCCTCGCCATCTCGACGTTTGTTCTCACAACGCTTTTTGGCTTCATCCTCTTCATGCATTTCATCTAGAATGGGCTCCAGATCCCGCACAGTGCTGTCGTTCAGACCAAAATATTCCCCCGTGGACGCAGCATGTGTGACGGAATCTGCTGTGCCTGCTATCACCCTGCCTGGCTTCTCTTCATAGAAGACCGCGGTGTGACTGTAAAACGCCTTGCGAGTTTTACTATCCAGGAAACGGTATCCACGTTTCTCTCTGGAATAACCCACAAAGATTGCCTCTCGTGCTTTGGCATCCAACTTTCGTCGCTCCACTTTGTCAATGTATGTGAGAGCTGCACATCCAAACGGCCTCAACTTCGAATAGGAAGGTGTCTCACGATACCAGACAGTGTACGGGATCTCCATGCCTCGCACGGAATTTGGCATTATATTCAGACAGTATGCTGCTGTCATAACAGCTTCCGCCCACATCGGCTGCGGTAGGTTGAAATGAGACAGCAAGCATCTCATCCGCTCGGTTAGAGTCCGAATCATCCTCTCAGCAACTCCATTTTGTTCCGGCGTGTGCTTAATACTAGTCGTGCACTCCAGTCCGTACCGAGCGCAATTTTGCTGCAGCTTGTCAAATTCTTTCGCATTGTCACTTCTCAAGCTTTTCATCCGAACATGCAGCTGGGTCTTAACGCGTTCGTAATATGCATCAAACTCATCATAAATATCCGAGCGACGTTCGAGTAAGACTACAGTAGCAAACCGACTTGCATCATCGACAATGACTGCAAAGTACTTCTTACCACCGTAAGACGGCTCTGCATAAGGACCCCACACATCAAGGTGAGTCATCTCGCCCACTAACCATTCTCGATGCTGGACCGCTATTGACTTGAAGGATTTTCGAGTAATTTTCCCTTTTACACAAGTTTCACACTCAAAATGCTCAGGGGTACGAAGATCCACATTGCTCAGTGGCCATGCATCATGTCGAAACAATGCGTTGAACACACTACGCCCTGGATGGCCTAGTCTAGTGTGCCACAATCTCACCTCATCAGTCTTCTTTGGCAGAGCCACCATGGCCACGTTACTGGGACTTTCCAGATCCAGCCGATACAAGTTTGTTTCGTCTACATGCGCCACTGTATTTCCATCTTGCAGCATCACATCAGCTCCTTCTGGTTCGTCAAAATGCACTTTCACACGTTCCGTAATTGGTACATCTTTATTTACTTGCCGTCGCACCGAGTATAGACTGCACTGCAACTCGGGCACATATCTTACTCCACGCAACGTCAATCTTTGCTTTCCACTGCTTGTGCTCAGCAGTTTCACAACTGTACCAATTCCCTCAACACTTAAGGAGTGATTACCTCCAACACGCACCCGTGCACTGAACGGCGTGAAATCCACAAAGTCTGTCAACTGATTGGTCATGTGACTTGTAGCACCAGAGTCCAAATACCATCGATCGTGAGCGAGGTCTGCAATCGGCCTTTTCAAGTTCATCACATGAAGAATTACGTAGGCCTCATCATCCGATTCATTATAGGTCCCTTTTCTTGATGTATTGCTGCGCTTTGACGACGGGGCATTGCTCTTCGTTTCATTTGGCGGTCGTTTACCAAGATGAGGGCATCCGTACACTCGATGTCCCTTCTCCTTGCAGTGAAAACACTCTGGACCACCACCTTGCCCGTACGACCCTCGTCCGCCAGCACCTCGGCCTCTGCCGTAACCTTCTCCGCGGCCTCGACCACAACCTTCTCCACGGCCTCGTCCGCGTCCACTAAAGCGTCCGCGACCTCGACCACGACCGCGCTCAGCCCCACGACCGCGTCCAGCCCCACGACCGCGACCTCGGCCACCATCAGCAAACAGCGCATTCTCTTCATCAATGTTGTCGGCTGCCACCTTGCGGTCTTGGCGGCGGTCGTACGCAGCCTCAAGGGCATGCTCCAACTGCTCATAGTTCGGGGGTTCGTTTGGGTCAGTCGGCACGTGAGAAGCCAAGAACGTCTCCACCACATTGTCGTAGTCACTGGGAAGCGAGCCAATGAGCAGAGCCGGCTTCTCGTAGTCGTCTAGTGGCTTCCCAAGCAGCCCGATCCTGTCCATCAGGCGTCGGATCTCGCCGAGATGGTCCGACATATTGCCCTTGGCGT